AAAAAAAAAAACAATAACAAAGCAAATGATAACTGCATACTATTTTTCTTCATCTACTATAATTTTCGACGTATAGCTACCACACGGCCGCACTGTTACGTCTGTGTGCGAATGGTTCACCAGTGAGGTTAACTCGTCGCCGTGTTTCCTGGCCAGCCGATTTAACGTTAGCATGACGTCGCCTCGAAAGCTGCACCCGAGTATCGTCTCCAAGACATAAATGCACTTAATGCTTAAAAAACTCAAATAACCTACATTGTATTGGACCATTTCTCCTCTTGGTCATTCCGCTTATTGCTACTTAAACCGCTTAACACTAAATGTAGGTCAAACCAAGCGTAAGTGGTTGTATTCAGCTCTTTACACCATTGGCAAAGTTAGAATTAACCCATTGTCTCGGTTTTCTATCAGAAAACACAAACAGTAGGGGAAACGTTGTTAATGGTGACCTAGAATAGGTTTGCCTTGTCCCGAGTTAATGTTCAATGCATTTACTGGATCTTCCATGTGACACCTACAGGTAAGCTGTGTTTGAAGGTGGGAAAACGCCATGGCACGTCTGGTAGCAGTATGCAAGGATAATGAAGAGGACTACCCGTTTCTTGCCAGACAGTTTCCTCTGTATATTGATGACTCCTTGACGGTAACGATCCTTGGATGTGTCTAACTAACATGAAAAATATGTTTTTAATGTAAGCCGTTAGATTATCCCCATGCAGGGGCGTAGTTATGGGTCACCCATTTATCCAATTACACAAGGGTAGCAGGTCTCATACAATTTAGAGTTTGCAGTTTACCTATGAAGCATGTTTTTTCATCTAATGCTTCCCAATTGTTCTGCATTTAATTGTAATCCATTCTAAGCAAGACTGAGCAATGTACATTATTAGGAGTTCTGATATATTTTCTCTTGTTGACAGATGGTGATGGAATTTTATGATGACGTCATGGATGTAGACAAACAAGTAATTAGTAGTTCCCATTGGAAACAATTCACAGAGGTTGGTACATTAGGACTTCTCCCACCTTTGTTGCATGCATTTCTCGCTTCAGTTTGAACAGAAATATGTTCCCTCTGCCTTTAGGGTCACTCCAAGTTGAAGCAACAGGACTTGACTGCGGCCTTGTCGGTGGTGTCCAGAGAGGTGTGCAAAGCGTTATCTCAGCTGGTGCCGTGCGTCGGCTGCAGACGCAGTGTGGAGCGGCTGTTCTCCCATTTAGTGGAATCGGGGACTCCACCCTTTGAGCCGCTCACATTGAACCCTATGGGTATGCTGTCTGTCTCCAAGGCTTGTTTAGCAGATGTAAAGAAGCTGTACAGCCTCCTCTACATCCAAGGGTAACAAATATTTATTTTCACAGTCTCCATGTGAACATGTGTCCAAAAAGAATT